GAAAAATATTTCAACCCTATTCTCAAGTAAGTTTAAATAAATATATTATTATTAATTTATTATATAATAATTAATTTAATAATTTATAGATTTTTATATACATGTAAAATTGAAATTGAAAATTATTCTGGAGCTGAAGTATTAGAATTATTAATTGCAGCAGATGAACTTGATCTAGAGTCACTTTATGAATATTTGATGAAATATTTTGTTGAAAATTATAAAGATTATATAAAAGAAAATCCAGTTAAAATTCTACAATCAATTTATGCTAATGAAAAATTTAAGGAATTGAAAAATATCTATTTGGAAAATTTTTGTGAATATAGTGAAAAATTATTTGAATCAAGTGAATTTAAATCATTGGAAAAGCCAACTCTATTGGAGATTCTCAAAAGAGATGATTTTTCTGTTGATGAGATAGTTATTTGGGAAAACATTCTTAAGTGGGGAGTAACAAAACATCCAGAAATCAATAACATTGATGTTGAAAATTGGCCATTACAGAATTTTGTTGATTTAGGCAACACATTAAAAGATTTTCTTCCTTTAATTAGATTCAGTGATATTTCTAAAAAAGATTTCTTTAATAAGATTATGCCATATCAAATGCTTTTTCCCAAGGCTTTATGGAAAGATATTTCACATTATTATTTATTTCCAGATGAACAACCTACTTTGAATTTATTACCATCAAGAATTTCAACAATCATCAATAAAAATGTTACATTACTTATTGCAAGTTGGATTGACAAAAAAAGTCCACCATATAGTTCATTTAGGGAAGTTAAATATAAATTTAAACTTTTATATTGTAGTAGAGATGGCTTAAATGCAGAAATATTTCATCAAAAATGTGATAATATTAATAAAACTCTTGTAGTTGCTAAAATACAAAATTCTGATCAAATATTTGGTGGATATAATCCACTAAATTGGAATGCACCTAAAGGCGGTATACATAAGAGTACAACTGAAAGTTTTATTTTTAATATTAGCAATAGAAATGATGTTAATACTGCACAATTTAGTTATGTTATTAATAATGATTATGATCATGCAATTTGTTGTCTTCCTTCTTGTTTACCACTTTTTGGAAAGAGTGGTTGTGATCTTAGTATTTACAATGTTGGTAGTATTTACAGTCAACGAACAACTTATAATAATATCAATTTAGTACATAGAAGTAAATATGATTATTTAGAAGTATTTCAAATAATTGGTAAAAATTAACATTATTATTACATTTTCTTTGTTAATGGCTAATTTAATTATTTTATTTATAAATATTTATTATATCTCTTATATATTTGTCATTATTAATTTAATCAAATATTTACTGATAATAAACATATGAATTATCACTAGTTAAAAAGAATGCCAATTTCTGTATTGTTCTATAGATTTTAATTGTAACATGTGATTGAACATTTATTTTATTTTATATTCCCACCAAAACAATTTTAGAAAAAAAACGAATTCAAATTTTTTATCCTATCCATTTTGTTTGTGCTTTGATTTATTTTGTCCTTCATGCAGAGGGTAATAATAGTAGTCATTTCTTCAAATCCTTGGATAACACCTTTTGATTTTCAAACAATTGCTTCTGTTTCCTGGTTCTACACATAACTTTCCGGACAGAATTGAATAATTCAATCGCATTTTGTGGTTTGGTTTGGTTTGCTTTTACAAGAAATGTGCTTGTCTCAATAATTTTACTGTCACCATTTATGAAATCCAAATTAGCCAATCAGAATTCCAAGTATAAATTTCAATTTCACATCTACCTTCATCTTTGATCCCTTTATTAAGATTTGTTTTTATTACGAAAATGAGGATAATAGTTTGTCTTCTTAATATACACTTCAAATGCTTCTAAAGTGAGATCAAAGACTAATTATTTTCCATAAGCTGATTCTTGTAGTTTCACCTAATTTTTATTTTTGTTGTTCTTGCCCTTACTGTTGGATTGTTATTTTTGTCCACGCCTTATCAATAAATGCAATAATATAATTGAAATAATTCGGTTTTGTAACTTACTTTATTCTTTTTTTGAATCGAAAGTGGTTGAAAGTCAAAATCCTATTTAATTGCAAAATTATAATAGTAGTAAATACAAAAATTGGTTTCCATGATTACTTGATTCATTTTCTATTATCTTATCCTTATGAAACAATTTCATTAGTTTGAATAACCATGAACTGGGAACAACTTTTGGTCTTCACTTGAAAAGCGAATAATAACTTCGGAACCTCGCTTGAAAAAGCAGAGGAAAATAAATGTACAATTGGCATTCTAATATTATGATAGGTCATTATTTTTATTAATCGATTTTAAGAAAAAAAAAAATACAAATAAAAAAATTGTTTTTATTAAAGCGCTTTGATAAAAATAACAAGTGAAGTGCCTTGGTAAAAAAGTCCCATTTTTTGCCCTAATGAGTAAACAAAGGTTAGGACTAACGTTGGTTAACCAGTAAGTGCTAACAACGATTAGCAACGCAATTTACTTTGGCGAGTTAGCAAAGTATTGTTAATTGGAAACGCTAATGTTATTGTAAATGTGAACGTAAGGCGTTAAACAAGCTCGAGCTGTTTTTTAAATAAACAAAGGTCAGCCAGATAAAAATAAATACGTGTAAAATATCCATTTTATTTATTCGGTACCATTAAGTATGCTTACCAGATTCGTCGAAGCTTTCTAGGTAGAAGAATAGCTCAAAAGTTAAGCCACCATTTAAAAAGTATATTATTTCAAAATATTATAATTTAGTTTTAAGAAATAAAATAAAAGTTTAAAATAAAAATATCAATCCTTTCTTTTGCTATTATTACTAGAATCTAATGTTTATTAATTATTAAAAAATATTGTTAGTGATTGATTGTAATTTCCAATCAATTAATAATGAATTTTTATTCACCTTCATCATTTAAGAGAAGAGAGTTAAAATCAAGATCGTTTAATGAGCCATCATTGCTTGTATAACTTTTTAAGCTTTTAGATTTAGCAAATTCATCATCTTGTATTATATGCATTTGGATGTGATTTATGTGCTTGTTACGAATAGTCACCATCATTATTAGAATCAATTTCATGTTTTTTTTTGATTTGAGAAAATTTGAATAAAACTGTTATTGCTACTACTATTATTTTTCAATCTTTTATTTTTAAGAATTTCTTCATGTTTATTTATAGCAAGCTCCAAAAGCTCACTAATGGTTGGTCTTTTTGATGGGACTACATTCCGACACTCTGCATCATTTGTGCATAATGATTAGGCATTCCTGGTAATATTTATGGTCTAGGATGCTTTGCATTCGGCGCTATTTTCGATGCTCCGAACGAATATACAAGTGTCGTGTGATTTTATGATGTTATGACATCAAGGAATATCATTGCGCTATAATACCAATCTGTATTTCACGAAACTCACTGTTACGTTTTCGTTCAAATGCCTGTTTTTCTTTGTAGAGAATTGAATAGCGTGTAACAAACAATTCTTATATGATAATAGCATTAATGGGGATTGACAGTTAAATAGTGATTACCTTTAAGTTGATAAATAATTATTTATTTATTGCTGTCATCATGGTATATAGTGTGTGCCCTTTTCACACTAATAAATTAATATAAATAAAAATTGCATTATTTAAAGAACAACTTTGAGACCAACAAAAATTCATCGTGATTCTAATGCTTCAACAATAAAGAATTTTAGCATTCTTTTTATCACTTTTAAAGCTTCAAAATTAAACTTATAAATATCCGCACCTAAATCTGTCTCGTGTACTATGTGAAGGTCGTTCCACGTACTAGTCTATGTGTGTTTCATGCCCAGACGCTCAAGCACATCACTAATGTTATTGCGTATTACTATTACGCGTAGTCAACTTCAAAGTCAAAATTCAAATTAACAGTTTGATTTTTTCATTTCATGAAATCTAATAAAAGAATAATAAAAAGAGGAGACATTTTTGTTTCATGATAATAATTATTATAACATTTGTAAATCTCCCATGATAATTATTCTTCTTGCGTCTTTGCAATGTACATACAACAATGATAATTCTTTATTCATCCCCAGGACACGCATTGTTATTTTTAATAATCCTATTTTACCATTATCATTACCGCTGCTTGTATCAAGCGCTTTTACTTTAGTCAAACCGTCAGAATAGCCTGGTGAAAAACTACCTTTAGTTGACACTTTAGTTGCGTCAATGACTAAAATCAAAGTTTTTGTCATATATCGTTAGTCACGACTATATATCTAATTACAGTAATGTTAAGGCCATAATGGTTATAGCTGAAATATAGTCATGGCTCATGACTGAAATCTGGTCGTGGTTCAGTTGGCTTGAAAATTTCTAGTCGCGGCTAGATATAAAATCATTGGCCGCGGCTAGTATAAAATCATTAGTCATAGCTGGATATAGATCATTAGTCGCGGCTATGACCAGTCAGCTAGCAACAACGTTAACTACAATTATAAAAAAAATAAATAGTATTCTTTGTATTTGATTTGTATTTGATTTAAAAATAATTTTTTAAAGAAATAGGAAAGTTTTTAAAAATATCTTTACATGGACTTTTATTATTAGTCAGTGATCATTGTCAAGTGTTTTCAAATATCTATTACACATATGTGGAATTTATTATTAATTCTGAATATTTCAAAATTTACGCACAACATAAAAAAAAAACAACATTTAGTATTTTTGGAAAAGTAGATTATGCAAGAAGCCATTCGACAAACTTGAAATTAGTTCTATATAGGATAAAGGATTTTAAAATTTAAGTACGGATTTTCATTACTTTTAATAGTGTAGGTCATACAGTACAGCAATGCAAAAACGTACAGTACCGAACGTCCATATACTCCAAAATCATATGTGACTGGTTATTTATATTATTTTTGTTGATTTTTTTTTTTATGGTAAATATAATATCTTTATAAAATTAATGATCAGTGAATTTTTATTGGGAAAAAAGCTCTTATTTTATATCATAAAGAGTAAAGGTTCGCTAGCAGCTTTTTCCAATTTCTCGTATTGTTTTATCATTGATGAGTGCCTCTCTTGCAAGTGCATTAATCCTAACATTTTCCAAGAAGTGCGATGGCTCAGAGCCACATATGCTTGACCAGGTACAAATCCTTGAGCATCAAGACTGAGAGATACCTCGGGTAAATTTAATGCTTGTATCTTGTGGACAGTTAAAGCAAAAAAATTTTGAATGGGAAATGACATTCTATTTTCAGACATCCATTTATCAAAAAATTTGATATCTGCCAACATTGAATGTGAGGTTTAAATACATATATACAATTATTTTAAACAATTCTAAACCGGAAAACCTGCAAATAATAATAATTTAATATTATTAAATACCCTTTGCGCCCTGGACTCGTCTCAGCTAAGTCTTGTTTGAGTTGCTGATTTTCTTCTTTGGTGTGGATTTGGAGTTGGTAATCGACATCTAAGAGAATTTGTTGATGGGTGAATTCTAAAGCTTGATATTTCTCCAAAGGAACATAATCCTTTTGTAAACTCTCCTTTAATTTCCTATATAAAACGGGCTTAAGAATAAAAATTAAACACAAAGAGTTTTTAAAATTTCAAGTGGAGTGAGGGTAATACTTTATTCTGTCTTATTTATATATATCTTTTTTATATGATGGTATAAAATATAATACTGCAATTAGAGTTGCCTTTTGGAATCCAATTCGTTTTAAAAGATTCTCAAAACTCTTTGAAGCTCGTTTCAAAATAGTTTAGAAAGGTAGCAGCAATATATATTTACGTTATTTTGCGAGGGGGAACCATCATAGATAGCAATATGCGGTTCTTGACTTTTGTGATGGTATTTGCGTGTTGTACCTTTACGATGGCTCTAATTAGAGAGGTATTTACAAATATTTCTTAAATCTATGGTATAACAACACCTAAGCATCAATAATTTCTTGCATAAATATTTAGCATTATAGCGCCAATGCTAGATAATTATTCCCTGCATATTCGAAAGGCTAAATAGTCTAAGTTGCGATGACATCAACAATACTTGGTGTTGTCTCGCTCGCTTAGACTTCTTTGCGGATAATACATCATCATTTCTTGAATAAAATAAAAAATCTGAATTATATAAAAAACATTTGTTTTTATTTTATAATTAATAATAAAAATATTATTATTATAGGAACTCAACTGGTCGTGATTCTTGTTGGCTTATTTAAACAGAACACTATTAAAAAAGGTCGATTAAATGACTAATAACATTAAAATCAAAGGGAGTCATTCTTTTATTCTTTATTGGATTGAATAAAAAAAATTTTTTGTCATTAAATGAATATTATCATAGATCATATCAATGAAAGATTGCGGGATAATGCCAAAGTCGCGTTAAGAACCGAATTGGAAAAAGATGTATCGGAATTAGTGTTGGTCGCCAAAACTAAAATTAAAAGTTATAAATGTCAAGAGTCAAAATTTCGAAATTCCCTAACTGTAATATGACGAAACTGGATATATTTATGCAAATTTTTTTTATTTGATAGCCAGCTAATTTACAATTCACGACAAAAATTTTTTTTTTATTATTGTCTAATTTATTTATTTATAATTAATAGCCAAGAATTTGTTTAAAATTGGACATGCAAAAAATGGAAATAAAAGGATTGAGCAATGGAAGACTCGACGCAATTAGTTGCAAGGTAAAAAGCCACCCTCAAGGAAAAATTGCAAATGCATTCATAGAACAGAAGGTCTAATTCACATCGAATTTTCAAGTTTACAACATTTTAAAAAAGTGAAAGTTGCATGTTCGAGAATTTGATCATTGGAGTACTCATGACAAACAAGATTCTTGTAGTACAGCTTCTTCATTTGATTCTGTTTCTGATAATTTAGATCCACAACCACAATGGTCAAAGTGTCATCAGACAATGGTGCTCATTATTACGACTCAAAATAGTTTCCTACCGGCAAATCAAGTCCACAAGGAATGGTTAATATTAATCGTCAAATGTAATATTACGTTGGATAAAATGCATGGAAAATATGTACGGTGCAGTTGATGAATAATATTATTTGTAAAATAAGACCAGACTAGTAAAATCAAAAATCACTTTTTAATAATTATTTATATTTTTTTAGGAATTTATTTAATTCTCCATAAACGGGTCTCAAGTTCATACATATAATGGAGATTGACTGCCAAATTTTTATAGTACTCGGAGGACATTCTTTAATGACCAAACTGGTGTTAACAATTCATAAATAAAATAAATTTAGCTTCCTTTATTTGCAGAAAAATTGATGCATTCCCCTTCTACTATTTTATTTCCTTCCATACTACCTTTGTCTCAAAATTAACAATGTCCATGTGAACATATTGATAATTATCATAACGATAAACATATATAAAATCTTTTAATTTGCTAGAAAATCAATTGGTGATTGCAATTGAAATTTTTTTTTTGTATGCGTTGGCTCTCTTTTATATCTCCTTCCACCAGCATGACTTATAAAAATATTTCTTATACCAAAAAATAATACATATTCTTGATAATAATTATCAAAAGAGTAGTAAATAGTGAAAGTTAGATTTTTCTCAGAATGCCAAAGAATAGGCAATACTCGTAATGGCTTTGTCTGAATATTTTCCTCTCGTGCAAGTGCTTTATTATTATTATAATCCAAACAAATTCCAAGTCGTGTGCCAAGAGTTGCAACATAAATGATTAGTTGCCGATCTATGAATGAACCCTCTCATTCACAATTAATATTAATATTAAAAAAATGGCAACAATCGAAAAAATTGAAGAAAAATTAAAAATAGCAGAAGAGAAATTGGAAAATGCCAAAAAGAAGTCAGAAAAGCTCAAAGAGGAGGGAAATATGAAGTTGGATGAGTTGAAGGTAAAGCTATCAGGAAAGAAACTCGCTAATGATGAAAAGGCGATGTGGGAAGTTGAAAAGAAATCATTAGAAAAACAAGAAGAGGATTTAAAGGCAAATATGAATGTATGGAAGGAAGATGCAGAGAAACAAGGAGAGGCATTACAAAAGAAATTGGATAAAGAAGTAGGCAATGAACAAATTGCATATGGTATGGATAATAGTAATCGACAAAATCTGCAAGGTCCAAATACTAGAGACAGGTGGGTTCCTCCTACACATGTCACAAGAACCATACCCAAAGTTATTGAAGATCAAATGTCAATTGATGTGGTTCAACATAAAGTGACAGCATTATTAAATAAGTTGACATTGGAGAAATTTGATGTTATTTCAGATCAAATAATTGAATATGCTAACAAATCAAAATTTGAAAAAGATTGTTGCATTCTCAAGGAAGTTCTTCGGCTGATTCAACTGACATTTGAAAAATTATGTCATGAATGTGACAAAATCAATTTTGGTCAAATGCATGCCCAACTTTGCAAAAGAATGATGGAGATGATTGATCCAGAGGTTACTGATGAAAATGTCAAAAACAATGATGGAGAGTTGGTTAGTGGTGGAACTTTATTTAGAAAGTTTCTGTTGAAACATTGTCAAGAAGATTTTGAAAAAGTTTCAAAAGTCAATATTCCAATTCCATCAAATGAAAAAGGAGAATTAGATCTTTTATCAGATGAATATTATTATTCAACAAAAGCAAAAAGATCTAGACTTGGTTTGATGTGTTTTCTTGGTGAACTGTTTAAGTTGGGTATGTTTACTGAACGTGCTATGCATGAATGTATATTGTCACAAATCCAAAATGCCAACGAAGTTCCAGGAGAAGAAGCAATAGAGAATTTATGTAAATTATTAACAACTGTTGGTAAACAATTGGATCATGGTCATGATAAGGCAAAAAATCCTATGGATGTGTACTTTAATCGTATGGATGAAATGTCTAAAAACAAAGCCTTCAGTAGTCGTATAAGATTTATGCTTCAGGTATGAATATAAATATAAATTTATATGTGTTTATTTAATTAATATTATAATTCTTTTTTATTTTCAATAAATAGGATGTTATTGATTTGAGAAATTACAAATGGATACCTAGACATGATAATAATGCACCAAAAACTATTTCTGAAGTTCATGAAGATGTGAGTAATTTGTAATATTTTGTCTGCAAGGGTACAAATGCTTACATTATTAAAAATCATTTTTAGGCTGCAAAACAAAAAAGCTCTGGTGGCCGAGGTATGCTTAAAATGACAGAACGAATATCACATGGTGGTTTTCCACACCATAATTTTATACAACCACTTGAACAAACTAAAGACAGGTGGGTTCCTCCTACACATGTCACAAGAACCATACCCAAAGTCATTAAAGGTCAAGTGTCAATTGATGTGGTCCAACGTAAAGTGACAGCATTATTAAATAAGTTGACATTGGAGAAATTTGATGTTATTTCAGACCAAATAATTGAATATGCTAACAAATCAAAATTTGAAAAAGATTGTTGCATTTTCAAGGAAGTTCTTCGACTGATTCAACTGACATTTGAAAAATTATGTCATGAATGTGACAAAATCAACTTTGGTCAAATGCATGCCCAACTTTGCAGAAAAATGATGGAGATGATTGATCCAGAGGTTACTGATGAAAATGTCAAAAACAATGATGGAGAGTTGGTTAGTGGTGGAACTTTATTTAGAAAGTTTCTGTTGAAACATTGTCAAGAAGATTTTGAAAAAGTTTTAAAAGTCAATATTCCAGTTCCATCAAATGAAAAAGGAGAATTAGATCTTTTATCAGATGAATATTATCATTCAACAAAAGCAAAAAGATCTAGACTTGGTTTGATGTGTTTTATTGGTGAACTGTTTAAATTGAACATGCTTACTGAACGTATTATTATTTCTGATTGTATACGAAGGTTGTTACAAGTCCAAAGTGCCAACGAAGTTCCAGGAGAAGAAGCAATAGAGAATTTATGTAAATTATTAACAACTGTTGGTAAACAATTGGATCATGGTCATGATAGGACGAAAAATCTTGTGGATGCGTACTTTAATCGTATGATTGAAATGTCTAAAAACAAAGCCTTTAGTAGTCGCATAAGATTTATGCTTCAGGTATGAATATAAATATAAATTTATATGTGTTTATTTAATTAATATTATAAATTTTTTTTTATTTTTCAATGAATAGGATGTTATTGATTTGAGAAATAATGAATGGATACCTAGACATGATAATAATGTACCAAAAACTATTTCTGAAATTCATAAGGATGTAAGTAATTACTAATTTTTTGTAATAATTTGTTTGTAAAAGCACAAATGCTTACATTATTAAAAATCACTTTTAGGCTGCAAATCAAAAAGAGGAATCTGCAAAAATATTAAGACAAACTGCAAGCTCTGGTGGCCGAGGTTTGCCGGAAAAACTATCACATAGTGGTTCTGGGCGCCATTATCTTAAAGACTCCCAGACCCATGGTCCTAACAATTTACGATCTAATAATGAAGGTTGGAGCACACTTAGGGCACCATCTTCATGTAAACCAATTAATTTATCAAAATTTGGTTCTGTTTCTCGTGACAAAGTTTCTAGATTAGTTAGCTTGAATCCCACTGGTCTCATACCTTCTGGAAAAGGATGGAAAGTTGAAAGTAGAGAACAAGAAGAAAAATCTACAAACACATCCCGTATTAATTCAATAACAGACATTTATAGTATTTTGGATGATTTAGAGATTGAAAATCCGGTTGAAACATTAAAACTATCACAGACTACAGAACGAAGAAGAATAATGTTGACTCCTAGAACATCATCACCCAAAGATGTAGTTAGTAATCTTCCGCCTAAAACAACAAATATCACAAACTCTGTACCACTAGTAGTAGAGATAAATGCAGTAGCTAAAACATCAGTGTCATCAATGTCTATTGAAATTGCTCAAAGAAAAATTCGAAATATGGTTGAAGAGTATTTTTCAGTCTTGGATATTAGTGTACGTGTTGATCAAATTCATTATTCATTATTAAATTAAACTTTTTATTAAAATATTTAACCAACATATATAGGAGGTACTAATGTGTATAAAGGAATTACCTATAGAGTATCATTCAAGAATAATTAAAGAATTTGCAAACATGGTACTTGAGAAAAAACAGGAGGATGTTCATAATGTTGCTAAACTATTTAAAAAATTAGTGTCTGATCATATTGTTAAGAAATCAGATTTTAAGGAGGGCCTGATAGAAACAGTAAACTTTTTAGTAGATATTGGAGTAGATGCACCATTAGCATATGAATATACAGGTCAATTGCTATGTGGGGCAAAAATGGACTTTAAAGATATTCAAGATTTATTTAAACCTTTAATAGAGTTAAATGATTTTAAAGGAACAGAAAAAGTAATGAAAGGGTATTTAACTACATTAAAAGAAGAGATGGTGTGTGTTTTTTCAGAGATTATTTTTTACCAACCATAGTAGATTAATTAATTAAATTTTATTATTTTAAGGATGAAGAGTCAATTTTAAAAATGATGAATAAATCGAATTTTGATTTTACTATTGTTGAAATAGATAAGATTTTGTAAGTTAAAATAATCCTTATCTTTTTTAAATTCAATGATTATAACAAAAAAAATAATTTGACAATTGTATATTTTAGGCTTGAAATAAAATAAAATATCCTAACATAAAAAAAGAACAGAATTAATTAGTTTTTTTATTATTTTAGGTATGGCTAGTATTTTGTGTCAAAATCAATATTAAAGTTAGTTGCCAAAATTTTTTAAAAAATAGAGATTTTACTAAACGTTTTCAGGATTTCATTCAAAGTATTTCCATCTATTTATTAGGAAAAATATAATAAAATTAACTACAATATATATTGAATGATTCTGGATAAATGCTTAATTTATTAATTTATTAAAAAAATAACTTTTTTATTACTAAAAGCATCTTCTGTTTTTTGTCAACATGTTTTATTAAACTCTCTTTGACTAAAAGTGTTCGATGAGTGAAAGTGCTTTATATAAAACGAACTGACTAACGTTGAGAAATTCAATTCAAAGGTTTTTTTGTAGTAATTACAATTACAATTACAATTACAATTGGTTTTTGGAAAGGGTGCATTGATTTATTTGGTGGAAAATATTACTAAAGTCCGATTTAATCTTTAAATTTCTCTTGTTTAAATAATGATTATTATTATTTACAGGCCCAGCTATCTTGCATATAGAAGATGACGAAAAAAATATTTGGAATCTATATAACCAAGTGCTAATGATTTTCTATTAAAAATATCAAATACTCAATCTTCTAAGCCATTAGGGAAATTAGATTTAATTCTGTTGTACGTGAAAATGAAATTATGTGAATTCGTTCGCAATTCACATGTGTGAAATTCAAATTGCCCTATTACTATTCACATACAACAGTCCTACCAACAAATTCCACCTTACTTTAAAAGATATAGAGTGGAATAATCTGACTGAGGAAGAAGACAATAACAATAATAACAAAAGTAGTGATGAAGAACTTGAGGCAATAAACTTTGATAATAAAAATCAAAAGGAAAAAGGAAAAAAAAACCTTCCATCTTCATCAAATTCTGATGTAGCTCCTGCTATCATTATTAATTCTGTTCACTCTACAATTGGAGAAGAACTATGACAAAAATTTGGCGAATCTAATAGTTAATGCAAAAAATAACATTAAGAAATATGCTATGTCAAGAGGAAATTTTAAATCTTTTTCTCTAATGGAGGATGGTTTATACTTTTCAATAATTGAATATTGAGTCTAATCAAGGTAAAGAATAATATACAATATTATATATTAATATTAAGAGCTCTCTACCCAATTTACTAGCAATGTTTAACATTGGTATTTCTGGTAAAAATATTGGAATATTAAACATCTTCATAATTATGTAGCGTTTGTTAAATTTTTTACAAAAAATTTTATCTTTTGAATTATTAATGAGTGTGAATATTATGTATTGTGTAGCGAATTTAAAATAAAATTTTTTTTTTATTATAGTAAAAAATTTATCTCTTGATAGTTCTTTCTATTCCTAAAAAATTTGTTACTCTGGTGCAATCAGAGCTTTCTTAATTTCAATAAATCTTCAACATTGTTTCATGATTCTTTAATTCTTGCATCTGAATGGTTAAAAAACAACAATTCTCTTCTAAAAAAAATAAGCAGCTGATGTTATTATTTCCTACCTATTCAATTGCCATTAATGCGTCAAAAACTCATAATTATGAACAAACCTTTGACAGTTATTTATTACACTTTCAATCTTAATTTTGTAATCCTGATTTAGAAGCGCCGAGCTGATGTTCTCAGACCTTTTTCCAAATGGATGGAAAGGATCATTATGAATATTATTGAATTTTCAATCCTCAATAAACGGTTACTGAGTTAAGAATGCTCTTATCTTTGGTTTTTGTCTGCATTGGCATTGAGACCACTAGCACACACTACTTGACTCTTGAAAAAAAAATTTTTCAAAATTTTCAAATCAACGTTGCACATATTGTCTGCAAGAAATGTTAATTGCGAGCACATTGGAATGTCTTGAATGAAGAAAAATTACACTATAACACTTTTTTTTCCAAGAAATAACTTCGGCGGAACATAATGATTAGTGTTTACACATTAACAATTTCTGTCACATTTGCATGAAATCCTGAGTTCTACTGACAATAGTAATACTTGTCGATACTGTAAATAAATTAACAAATTTAAGAACAAAATCCCTTATTATCGCTAGAAACTTTATTGATCTGGAATGTGATATCATATAAAAGCTAAGCCATCCAAATTATTTGTAGAAAGCATGTCATGGAAAGGAAATTAGCTGTCATGGAATTAATAATACTTTTGCTCCAATATTCAATAATAAGATGTTCTGTCTCAGTACATTGTTACCTTCTACACCTTCAAAATATCGTAAGCCAATCACACCTACTAAATTATAATGACAACAATGGTGGTGGAGTGATGCAATTGACAAATAATTATTGACTGACCAGAGATTTAGCTATTTAAAATCCTCTTCACATCCCAGAGTATTTTCAAAATTGACAATCAAATCAAAAAATTCCTGATCCAAAATCCAATTTATCTTCAAATCTCAAGATATTTTTCATTTAAATAAACGGTTAGGTACTCAACACTATTATTTAACATTATTTATATCCTGAACAAACATATTTATTGTAATGAACCATTAGAGTTTTTTTTATTTTTAAATAAAAAAACATGCGCGCATAATTTATTGCGCGTAATAAAATTTACGTGTTATAATTATTCTAAAAACCTGCTAAGATCATCTGACTCAAAAAGAAATTTTTTTATAAAATTTCTAATTTCTAATTTAACTGAAGTTGAACGTATCGGATCATTGTCTCTATAAATGCGGCAGTTCAAAAGTGAAATTAGTAAAGCTTTTGGCTTAGAGCTATATACTCGAACCATAAAAACTAGGACTTAACCTCGAAGTGATCGACCCAAAATATTAATTGGAAAATGGATGAAAGCATGCCTCGTAAAATTGCGGCATGATTGCAAGTAACAGATGTTCTGCTAGATATTAAATTAATAAGAGGTTTAGATTCCTGTTGAAATTTTTAAGTTATTTTTAATAGCCAAAAACTGGTTCATTTGCAGTGATTTTTGTGTCACTATAAATTAAAATTGTCAAGACCCTTATAATTACTATTTTTCTTAAAAAACTTTGGTTTTAGAACACAAGAATAAAATTTTACTTTACAAAATGTCGAATAGAAAACCAAAAACAAGGTGTTTTAGTATGGATAATAAATATAATGATATTTCTACGCCTACAACGGCAGACATGATAAAAAACGGCTCCCTGCTTGCACTGTCTGCAGGAAATGCTTTTAGCAATTATGCACCAGTAGTTGGAGCAATCTGTGGTTTATGTGAAATGATTATTAAACTTTACGATACTATTAAAGAAAACAAGGTAATTTCCAGAGCATTAATTAATAGAGTTGAATTGGCACATGTAGCCGTAAAACAAATGGAGAGAGAAAAAGAAGAAAATGAAGAAAATTTTCGTAAAGAAAGTTATTTTAAAGCATTTAATAGACTTGAAGTTGTTTTGAAAAATATTGAAACTTTTATTAAAGATATTTCAAATTATGGAGGATTTAGAAAATTCATTAATGCTGACCACATTAAAAAGTGCTATAATGATCTTGTTAGAAATTTGGAAGGAGCTTGTGCAGATTTACAATTCAATGTAATTCTTTCTAGTTATCATACAATGAGAGAACAAGACAATAACACAGAGGGTTATTTTGCTAAAATATGGGAAAAGCTTGAGGTATAATATTGATTTTTTTATTTTTTTATAAGTGAATGCATTGAAAAATATATTGATATATACTGTATATATATATATATATACATACTTGTTTAGAATGTTGAAACAATGCAGCATAGTGAATTAGTTTTAATAAAAAAATTAAATAAATGTTTGGTATCTGACAATGTGGAATTTAATCCCATAATAAAGTTGGCAAAAATTGATCCCAAGGATATAGATGATGTAAAATCAAACTGTAGAAAGTCTACAGATTTAAGAGGTGCAAATAATAGGATTGTTAAAAAAATACTTAGAAAAACAGTTGAGGTAGCATGTAAAAATATTTTAAATTATCCAAGGGATGATGATACCTCTGAATCAAAAAAATTTCAAGCAAAACTTGCAATACTAAATGCTATTCAATGCAAATATATTATTAAATTTTATGGTATCTCCAATGTAAATTCTCATGATGCTTTGATATTTGGCTGGGCTGAAAAGGGCAATTTAAAAGATTTGTACAATACTCATTACATTGACTGGGTTACAAAATTAAAGATATCATATGATGTCATTAGAGGACTTTTATTTATGCATAGTGGTGAAATTTTACATCACAATGTTAAATGTGAAAATATATTAGTAGGTTTTATTTATGTTTATTTTGTAAAATATTATTAGTATGATTAAAGCATATCAACATGTACTCTTTTTAGATCGATGAGAATGGAAGTGCAAAAGTTTCAAATTTTGAGCTTAGTCGTAATTTATCTGGTGAAACTACAATATTATCAGATTTAAATGATTATATTCGTTGGATGGCTCCTGAAAAGATGGGATCAAAGACTCAACGTTATAATCTTTATTGTGAAATGTTTAGGTAAATATAGATAGAAATGTTTTGAATAAAAATCTATCAACTGAATTTATTAATTTGTTCATTCATTTAGCTTTGGAATGTTTCTTTGGGAGCTTGCTTATCAACAAATTCCATATAATGAAATGAATGTAACTAGTATTAGTGATCATGTCCTAAGTGGTCAAAGAGAATCTATAAAGATTGGAGTGCACAATACAGAAATTCAGCAAGTTTTAATTCAAATTATTAATAGAGGTAAATGATGGCAAAAGTAAAAATCATTACATTAATAAACTTTTTAATGATTTATAATTATTTGTTCATTATTATTAGCCTGGGAACATTCACCATATAGCCGTCCATCTTTTGCTGAAATAACAGATGAATTGGCAGAATTGTGGAAAAGTTTTGAAAGTATTAAATATGTAGCCAAATTTATTGCTAAAGATGAAGTTTCAAGTGATGAAATTCAGCATTATAATATTGATGAGGACTCGGATTTTGAAGTAGTTGGAATTAGAAAAAAATTTTTTGAATCTCCCATACCATTAGATGAAGGGGTGAAGGCTCATAAAGAAAAGGACTATGAAAAGGCATGGAAATGTTTTTGTGAGAATGCTGAACTCAATAATCATAATGCGATTTATTGGAAAGCATATTATTTAGAAACAGGAAAAGCAAATGAAACAGGAAAACCTAGTCAAAAAGATATAGAAAAGGCAATCGAATTGCATAAGATTGCAGCTGACCATGGCATAGCCAAGGCTCAATATAATTATGCATTCCTCATTTACAATAAAGACAAAGTAGCAAACCTTAAAGAATTTAAGAAATATTTACAATTATCTGCTGAAAATGGTAATGAGTTTGCTTTGCTTAATTTAGGTAATTTCCATTTTAAAGGAATACATGGTTATGAAAAAGATTATGATCGAGCCATAGATTATCTTAAATGCGTAACTTTTCAAAATCATAATGACCAAATCAGCCAGAATGCAACAAATTTAATAAATCAAATAAACAAAATTAGAATGTAGTTTTTTTTTTCAAATATCAATATTATTTAATGTATAGATAAAATTTTTTAAAGTAAAAATCTTATTATTTAACACCTTGCTTGATTAAAAGGCCATTGTTGGGATGTCTATGCATTTCAATGATGTTTTTCATTGTGAAGATGATAATTATTGCTTTCTTTGTTTCAATTGAATTGATTAAAATTATGGAGCTGCAATTTTATGTCTTTACGACAAAAAGAAGCTTGCTTGCTTTATTTGTTTTAGCAATCCTCAAAGTACATCAAGGCTAACTTGCAAAATTATATATTTCATTTATTAAAAGATATAAATGCGTTCAACATGTAAACATTACAAGAAAAATCTCTATTGTAGTAACAGATTTTATATCAACATTTATGCTACTTGTTTGTTTCAAAATGTAACTTTATATTTTGCTTATCATTCGCGTATATTAACATGTCCACCTTCATCAAAATGTCTGGGAACAAAAGTTTTATATTATCAATGTTGGTCCGTATCTAGTTTATTATAATAATTTTATCATCATGAACAAGAACCACTGTTATGTGTCACTAATTGGTCATAAACCACTGATTATCTTTGTTTTAAAGACCTTTAGGTAGAAATTTTTCAATAATAAAATCTTGTAAAAAAATAAATAAAGAATCGAAAATTATAATAAATAATAATATATTAATACTTGAATATAAATAAAAGTTCAACGATTTCTAATGAAATCTTTTAATTATTTAAGATTTTGGCATAAACACATCATCATCATTTAAAACACATCCAATTGAAGATTTCCGAGTTGATACCAAATTATTGTCATTTGGTTGTTGAGTTGAACTGCTTAATGGACGACTTATATAGAATGCTCCTGGATGATATTTAGAGCTTGTTTCATCATATAAATACTTTCCTGATCTAATTATCTCTTGCCTTCTAGATTCTGCTAATTCAATGATTTCTTTATCTTCTTCAGAAGCTTCGTTAGTAAGTTTATATAAAAAATCTTGAATTTCTTGAGCAGTAGGTCTCATTTCAGGATCATGATCCCAACATCTTTTCATTAGTTCGGCATAAAATTTAGGTGTATCTACTGTAATTTCGGGCCTCAACCCATTCAAAAGATTCATTCTTAAATCCTCATTATGTGGTCTATCATTGAATGGTTTTTTACCTTTTGTATATTCCCACATGACCATACCAAAACTATAAATGTCTGATTTTTGTGTATATGGTTTACATAATAATACTTCAGGAGCCAAATATGGCATTACTCCAAAAACCACACCTGGATGATCTTTCTCGACAACTTGTTGACATAACCCCAAATCTCCTATTAAGCCACCATTAATATGACCATTAACGGATGCTGAAAAAATATTACCACTATGTAAATCGCGATGAACATAATTTTCATTGTGGATGTTTTTTAATCTAGTTATATTAATAAGAATACAATTTTAAAATTCTATGTCTTTTTGAAAAATTAAACAACAAAAAAACTCACCCAAATGATACAAAATGAAGTGAACTAATTTTATCTTGCCAAGTAAATTCTTTAAAATTTTTTAATAAAAAATTGTGCAAGCTACCATTAGATAAATAATCAAATACTAACATATGATCTTTTCCGTCTGGATTCTTTGTAATTCCATGACAATGGACAAGACCATTTAAATATCTAAACTGATGATGAGCTTTTAACTAAAAAGTATAATAAATAAATAGAGTTAATGCTGATATTTGATAATGATATAAAATATATATTATAATTCACCTCATTTAAAATATCTATAATTTTATTTTCTGAATTATATATTTTTTTTAACACAACATCAATTTCTTCATATTTCTTATCAGATACATTATAATGATAAATCCATGTTGCTCTATAAGTTTCACCAAATCCACCTAGTCAAAAAGATATAGAAAAGGCAATCGAATTGCATAAGATTGCAGCTGACCATGGCATAGCCAAGGCTCAAT